CAACGTAGTGGCAGTACGTATGGTCAAGGCATATTTGTTGAGCTGCGTGCTGCAGGTTTTTCATGCTTTCCAGCGGAGGTCCGTAAATCTTGAAACTATGGCCTGAAACGAGGGTGCGTAAGTCGCGCATTGATCAGGGAGGCTTTCACTACCGACCTCGAGCGCTATAAGACCACTGAGGCATCTTCCCGTGCCACATGACATTCAACACGGAGCCATATGGTCCAGATGCACTAGATTCAGTTCTCCACCGCACAAGCGGAAACCGGTCGACGCTGTCGTAGAGGACAGTTTCCTCATGATAAATGCCTCGAGGTACAGGATGAGCTACTGGCCTTGAAATCGCTTGATGTTAGTAACAAATCATTCGAAGAATTGACCCCTTCAGAACCCTCAACTTACGACTTTGGCCGAACCTCGGTATACAAAACCTTCTCAAAGGTCGCTCTCCTTAGGACACCCGCGGGTGATTCTCCAGCCAGCATTCTGATATGAACGAATGTGAGTTTATTAGGAGAAAGACCCGAATGCGACCATAACAAGACTGGAGCATGTGAGCCAGGCACCGCATCCAAGTACGCCTGATGAACATCAACGGGGTGACATTCGTCGTTGAGGCAAACGTCGATCGGGGCGTGGAGGTATGGCTTTGGATCGAGAGTACGGAGGGCATCCTCAGACGCTCCGTAAACATAAAGAGCAACTCCTAGAGACCCGAAAATAAGTATGCAGCAGCTTTCGAGGTTGGTATGGTCAGGATGACCTTGTAACTCAAAAGTAACTTGGTGTGAGGAGCCGTTGTTCGGAAAATTCCCTTCACTCGATGAATGATGAAAAGTATCTTTTGGCTTGGACAAGGCGGAGAACGTGGACCGATTCCAGGCCTCTCTGGGTTCATATTTGATTGCGTAGTTGGTGTCATGTAAGGTGACATTAGCTACCTCAGTGCCGTTAACAGGTGTGTACGGCATTCTATACAAGAAAGTTAGGAATCTCAACCCTCCAGAGATCCGAGAAGGAAGTTGCAACCGACTTACGGCTTGAACGCGGGGCCTGCAGTGTATACCAAATGATGGAGGCTTGCGGACGTTATTGGCCACCACCACTTGCCATTCCCGTCATCCAAGAACCGCAGTTCGACTAAATGTGGACGGATCGAGCCAAGATCTCCAGAAGACCACAGGAGAACGGGCTCGATTCGTGTCGGGTCATATTTTTTACCACCGTCAATTATTTCGCAATTCCCATCCAGACAAATTTCTTGTTTCCCGGGAGGGTATTTGATCTGATCTCGAGGGGCACCATAAATGTAGACAGCCGAACCTGAAGAAGAACCAAGCGAATGAGTAGGTGAAGAATCTGCAGGCTGTGAGGCAAACCTGAGAACCGAAAGGAGAAACGCCGTTTCAAGGTTTCAGAAGAGGGTTCGTTCCCCCAACTGTCCGCTTGGTAAAATGAATAGCGGCGATTGTCGAAAGCATTGTAGGTTGCAACCTCCCAAGGTTCAAATCGCACTCCGCATTTCCCCCGACAGCAGGACTCTGGTGCATAAGAGATTCGGGGATCCGTGGAATGAACTGTGAAGTTCACCCAGCGGCTCTCTATCGTACCAGCAAGCGAGCCGAGAGCCAAGCAGACTGACAGCCACCACATGGCTAGAGGGAAACACCAAAAAGGAAATTAGTAGCGATAATTTTTGGTGAACGCGAGGCTGAGGGTGGTCGAACTTGGAAACTCGAGGCCTTCCCGGAACTCCGTCGGTATCTCCGCGCCAGACTGGACAATACACAAGCACTGCACCTCATGGTCCATGTGACCTAGGTATATTTAAGATGCACGCACGGGCAGAGCGTTTTTGTGACTACCAAAAGGGGATTCGTAATTAGGCAAAGAAATCACGGTGATGAATAAATTGCAGGTCTGCGCGGTTGTAAACAATAACCGCGGGAGATGAAATGACAAGCATTGATGGGGTGGTAACCTGGATCGCATCGACGATGCTGTGGAAGCAGAAGACTTGGAAAATTTATGTGATATCATCTGGAATACTACTAGATAACTGGGTACCTTCATGTGGGCTACAGAAACATGCGGTTTGGCCGTGACCAGAGCCGAAAGAACATAGTATCTCTATCCAATCGTATAAATACATCCGAATAGACTAGAAAATAGTTTTCAGAATAAGGTACTTCCTACTTCTCTCTGTGGAATAGTGAAACGAGGGGGCGCCTACAGTCTCGATGTTTCTTCCGAGCCGTTCGACCCCGTCTCCACGGCGCCATAGCCGGGATGCGGCGTCCCATTTAACGGCATGTAATGCTGAACACGATCCCAATGGTGAGAAGCAAAGGAACCAATTACCAAAGCCATCGCGCAGATCGCAGCACCCGTAAAAAGCAACAGGACGTGGTATCCGGTCCCATGTCCGGGTTCGGGTTTGGGTTTGGGTATCGGTTCCGGTATTACGGTGACGAAAACGGTTGTTGTTATCGGCGCAACGGTTGAAGGCAAGGTTGGGCACGGTGTCTTCGTTGGAGTGCTGCTAGTCGTTGGCCTTGCGAGGGGAATCAATTTCAGGGTCAGAAGTGAATCTTGAATTAACTAGAGATTTGACTTACTTCGGGGGTGGAGGTGGAGGTGGGGGCGGAGGCGGAGGCGGGGGCGGAGGCGGAGGTATCTCAACCCAGAGGGTCTCAATATGAGATAATGCCATCACCCTCGCTTCATGGTCGTAGAAGCGATCCACCATCTCCGAGGTAATTGTGTGGTCGGTGAAAGGGTCGATTCCATCAACAGACCAAATAAGAACCGGCAACTTCTCGTGTGAATCTGGTATACTCAAGTAAATGTGCCCAACGTCAACGTAGTGACAGTACGTATGGTCAAGGCATATTCGCTGAGCCGCGTGCTCGACGTTTTTCATGCTTTCCAGCGGAGGCCCGTAAATTTTGAAACTATGGCCTGAAACAAGGAAGCGTAAGTCACGCATTGATCAGCGAGGCTTTTACCACTGACCTCGAGCACTGTAGGACCATTGAGGCATCTTTCCATGCCACATATCATTTAACACGGAGCCATACGGCCCAGATGCACCGGATTCGGTGCTCCAGCGCGCAAGCGGAAACCGGTCGACGCTGTCATAGAGGACAGTTTTCTTATGATAAATGCCTCGAGGTATAGGATGGGCTACTGGCCTTGAAATCAACTCGATGTTAGTAACAGAGCATTCTAGGAATTAACCTCTTCAGAACCCTCAACTTACGACTTTGGCCGAACCTCGGTATACACAACCTTCTCAAAGGTCGCTCTCCTTAGGACACCTGCGGGTGATTCTCCAGCCAGCATTCTGATATGAACGAATGTGGTTTTATTAGGAGAAAGACCCGAATGCGACCATAGTAGGACTGGAGCATGCGAGCCATCCACCGCATCCAGGTACGCCTGATGAACATCAACGGGGTGACATTCGTCGTTGAGACAAACGTCGATCGGGGCGTGGAGGTATGGCTTGGGATCGAGAGTACGGAGGGCATCCTCAGACGCTCCGTAAACATAAAGAGCAACGCCTAGAGACCCGAAAATAAGTATGCAACAGCTTTCGAGGAGGGCATGGTCAGAATTACCTTGTAGCTCAAAGGTAACTTGGTGTAAAGAGCCGCTGTTCGGAAAATTCCCTTGACTAGATGAATAATGGAAAGTATCTTTTGGTTTGGACAAGGCTGAGAACGTGGACTGATTCCAGGCCTCTCTGGGTTCGTATTTGATTGCGTAGTTGGTGTCGTGTAAGGTGACATCAGCTATGTCAGTGCCGTTGGGAGGTGTGTATGGCATTCTAGACAAGGAAGTTAGGAATCTCAACCTCCGGAGGTCCAAGAAGGATGTTACGACCGACTTACGGCTCCTCCCCGGGGTCTGCAGTGTATATCAAGTGATGGAGGCTTGCGGACGTCATTGGCCACCACCGCTGGCCATTCCCGTTATCCAAGAACCGCAGCTCGACTAAACGTGGACGGACAGAGCCAAGATCTCCAGAAGACCATAGGAGAACGGGTTCGCTTTGTGTCCGGTCATATTTTTGGCCACCGTCAATTACTTCGCAATTGCCATCCAGACAAATTTCTTGTCTCCCGGGAGGGTATTTGATTTGATCTCGAGGGGCACCATAAATGTAGACAGCCGAACCTGTAGAAGTACCAAGCGAGTGAGTAGGTGAAGATTTTGCAGGCGGTGAGCCAAACCTGAGAACCGAAAGGAGAAACGCCGTCTCATGATTTCAGAAGACGGTTCGTTCCCCCAACTGTCCGCTTGATAAAAGGAGTAGCGACGATTATCGAAAGCACTATATGTTGCAACTTCCCAAGGTTCGAATCGCACTCCACATCCACCGGCTCCGTTTCCCCGACAGCAGGACTCTGGAGCATAGGAGATTCGCGGATCCGTGGAATGAACGGTGAAGTTCACCCAGCGGCTCTCTACGGTACCAGCAAGCAAGCCGAGAGCCCAGCAGGCTGACAGCCACCACATGGCTAGAGGGAAACACCAAAAAGGAAATTAGTAGCGATAATTTTTGGCGAACGCGAGGCTGCGGTGTGGTGGTCGAACTTGGAAACTCGAGGCCCTCTCGGAACTCCGTCGGTATCTCCGTCGAAGTCGCCGGACAGGAGACGAGCATTGCACCTCACGTTCATTAAGACGCCATATGGATCGATGGCTCATGTGACCTAGGCATATAGCATGACTTGGTGGAACCTGAGTTGGTTTGCTGAGGGGGTAAGATTTATGAAGCACAAGAAGACACGATTGGCATCCCTATAGTTAGCGGTAGGCCCCCAATCTTCTTTCCCGTTCCAATGGGCGTCGGCCCTCGATTTAAATACACGCACGGGCAAAGAGTTTCTGTGACCACCAAAAAGTGTACTCGTATTTAGACAAGAAGTCATGATGCGCAAATTGCAGGTTTGGGCGGTTGTATTTAGTAACTGGGGGAGATGAAACAACAAGCTTTGATGGGGTAGTGGTAACCTGGATCGTTGCCAGTGAACAAAGTTCTCTGCCACCTTCGATCCGCCGGGGGTTCGATTCCCCCTCAAAGCAAAGCTTGCTTTTTTGAATATTGTCTTCCCGACCTTTTTCCTTTCCTCTTGTCTGTACTTTCCCAGGCAGCCCCTTTTGTTCTTCGCCTTCTTTTTGCTTAGAGCTATGAACCTCCTTTCGACTTGGGTGAGAAGCGAGCCTTTTCTAACTTCTTCTAGGAACGACGTGCTGTGTAGATGTTGCTCACGCGCACTCCATCTTCACCATTTCTGGATGGATAAATTCAGTCCCCGCATCAAAGGGAATGCATTCAATTGGTTTCACAACAATTCCATTCATAGACATAGTGGTCAAGGTGCATAAGCGTCTTCGTTCAGCAGCGACTGCTCCTGAACACTGTCTTCAACGAAAGCTGGGATGACAAGATAGCGGCGTTTCGGTCTAGACAACGTTTCATCGAGGGTCGTCAAACTCTAGGAAACCAAACGCGTCACTGAGAACTCACTTCGAAGTTCGCCGCAATAACTCTACTCTGCGGCTTTTATCTTTTTCATGTACTACAATATGGGTAAGCTTCGGTTCGTCGATGTTATCAGTGATGCGTCCGCCCTCCTGAACGATTAGTTCACGGAGCTTGGTCATTCTAGAGGACATCAACCAGTCTCAGCAGGAGGGGCAACGTATGTAATGTCGGTGCATACTCTGATGCGATGGTCGCCTGTACTGCCGGGGACGCCTTCACGGCCATGCCGGCCTTTTGAGCGTTTTCAGGAGTATCAAGATAGAAGCACCTATGCCAATTGACGATATCAAACGTTAAAGAGCCAGAATTGGTTATAGGAAGGAGCTCCTTACAAGTGCCTGAACAGCTTGGACTCGTCGTACTCCATGTCATGACTGCTCTCTCCCATCTGCTCCTGTGAAAGACAAGGTGTTCAGTTTGAGCGGCTTTCAATCGCATCCAGAGGCGACCAACATCATCTAGTTCTACCCAGTCTTTGTCGGCAGTCGATTCGTCCTCGATGGGATTGACGTCCATCTCACTCTAAGAAAATATCAGCGAAGCCGTTTCGAGATTTGCTTGCTTGTTAAACTTGCCATTCGCCTCGAAAGTCCTTCAGCGACCTTCGCTCTCGTCTCTGACCGAACTTTCTTCCAGCCATCGAGCTCGGCATCTGACTCTTCGCTCTCCGTAACGTCACCCAAAGCGGGCTTCCTATCGTCAGCCGAGTCTTGCGCATCGGAATCTTGTGCCTCATCTGGAATTTCACGGAGCCGCCGTTTGGTCTCATCACCTGGTTCTTGACCTTTCGTGATCTTTGTCCATTTAGCCACCTCCGGGTCCAGCCCCTCGTCCTCGCTTTCAGTTTCGGTGTCTGCCGGGGATGACGCTCGTTTTCGTGAGGCTGAAGTTGACGACGAAGGTTCAGGCTTAGTCTTCGTGTCCTCTTCCTCTTCTTCCCTCTCGTCGCCGCTAGCAGGTTCGTCGTCGTCGTCTGCAAAGTCGTCCCTGGCTCTGCTCGCCGTTGTGGCGTGGAAGTAGTACTTTTCGGTCGGATGAAGCAGAGCAGCAGCCTCCACACAATCGAGGATCCACTGGGGTTTGAATATGTCGTACTCGTCGTTTTTGATAATCTTGTTAATGGCAGGCGCTGTTGTAAATTCCCCTCTGAGTGGTCATTCTTGATCCAATAGTTGTATTGGACTTACTTATGGTCGTGCCTCCATAAATGAAAATGACGTCCCCTGTGCGAGCCGTGACAGCTTGAGTAAAATCACCGCCTTCCTCGTAAACACTGTAGAGATTTGTTGAGCAGTCTGCTTTTCGTAGCCTCAAGAGTAACTTTGGCTCACAGCTTCTCCAGCGAGGCCTTGTCGTTCGGAGGCTTGGCAAGGTTGTCAGGGAATATTCCTAAGAGGCGGTATGAGAAGAAGCTCGCAGTGAACTGTCATACAACTCACGGAATGTTAAGCCGTCAAAGAGGTCTGACTTTTGAGGCCCGTCCATAGTCTGGCCTCGAGAATGGTCCATCAATTGAGCGCCCTGCAAGACCTGGATTAATCACACATGGATGCAGTTTTTGCCGAGTTTCGTACCTGCCGGCCCGTAGCAACCCTCCTCTTCTTCGTGGGTCTAATCCAGAGTAACATAATGGATGTGAGCCAAAAGTTCAAGGAGCTATGTGAGAGGACGTACTGGGCAGAATCATCAGCCTTTCGCTTTCCAAGGCTCATAGCAACAAGTTCTGAAATCGAATCGAATTAAATAAATCCCACCCCCTCCTAAGGCTATGGGGTTAGTATAACCACTCACCAGTGTAAGTGAATACCTCGTCGAGCTTGAGATCATCTCGAATTCGAGTGCATCTGGGGAAGCGCATCGTCATTTGGCACGCATATTGATCTATAACGGTTGCTAAGTCAGTCTTTCAATATATCCGCCAACCATCTAACCACTGACCCGTGGGTGTGATTGCCGCAGCTTTGACCGAGACGATGAAAGACCTGTCGGATTCCTTCAGTATACGTACCCGTCATCCTAGAGAGAATACCAACGCACTCGTGAGGCTCCAAGTACACATCTCCGACATCTTCAGTTCCAGTCGTAGTGGAAATTCTCATCCAAGGAGGGGGCCGCTTCCTATCCAAAGGCTTCCAGGGCTTGGAATTGATCCATTCGTACTCGGCGAACGTCAGACCAGTTCCGATCCTGACAAAAGACATGTATCTACGATAAAGTCAGTGAAGCAATTCTCCCAACGATCTATAGCGCAACGATGAGCGTACCGAGTTTCGTCTTTGGAAGCTTTGGAAGAATCGTCTATCACTCCGCAAATGAAGGTGGATACCTTCCCTCCCCTACCACCTTTGCCGTAGTTCCCACTGATCACAAGAACGTCAACAGATTCTCCCATGTTGTCCTAAGGTCATTGGTTAATTCGCGATCCCTCCGGGATGCCTCCTCGGTAATCCGTACCATGTATTCTGGTTTGACCTTCATCCAGCAGTTCTCCCTTCCACCGAGAATGTACTTCGAGTTTGGCGTCTTGATTACAAGCCCTTCACCTCTGGTTTGGAGGTCTGAGCGCTTGCTTCTCACAGATACCACGACTCAACTACCAACCTGGATTCCACAACCTCGTTCAATAGCTTCTCAACGTCTTGAACCGTCTTCCCTGGTCGAGATATTGCAAACTCGAACCGACCAGGTATCTCATAGAACTATGGCAGGACCATGTCAAAATGGCTAAAACGACGAGCACCAGATAATTACAGTCATACCAAGCTTTTGATGGTCTTTTGTCGATTCTTGAGAGGCATCTCAGTCATCAATGTCTCTTTGCCGCTGGATGACTTCATGTAAAGGATGTCGAATATCTTGTAGCAAGGTCTTGGAGCATCCTCTCCACCTGTCCTGATAGTATCTGCATGAAGAGTGTTCCCTCAGGTCGTCGGTCATACCGAGCCATGCGAGTCACTCTTACCAAGGGCAGCCGTCTTAAGATATCCAAAATTGCAGTATTTCTCGAGATTAGGATCCCATACGACCATCTCGCCATCGAGAATGACACTAGAGGTGGAGAACTTCAGAATTATTGCCCGAGCCAGCGTAATGATAACCTACTCAGCAACCCTTTGGTCGAATGCTTCTTGGATATATGGAGTCAGAGCACCCTCTCCAATATTCGCTCCATAAAGGTAGGTGTAGTCCTTGCCCTTCCTGAGCCATCTTTCAGTCTGGGCAGCTCCGCTTGACAAGTATGTTGCTTACCTTGAGCAATAGAAGAACTGGTTTCCTCTCTTGTGGAGCTGCATCCTTTCCCCATCAAGCTTCTCTTCCATAATAAACTCTTGACGGCCCATCATTTTGACACACTCCTTCAGAGTCTTCCCGCGTTTGCAAAGCATGGGTTGGAATGCATGGAAGAGCTGCACTCGCTTGTCCTAGAGAGGATCCACGTCTTGAGTCAAAGGACCGTTCTCCCAGAGAGCACCCTCAAATAAATCTACTTACAGAATCATCAGCTCGCTTGTTCTGGTTTGGAAGTAACCAGCAGACTCTCTTGAGGTCGGAAGAGGTGTTGAACATGTCCATTGCATCTGGATGAAAGACTGCCAGCACTGTGGTTTCCTTGACTGCGATACCAAGATCCTTGAGAATAATGCGGGTGATCCATCGCTACCAGAGAAGCTTCAATGATATATACACGACCATCGTCGGTGTTTGGGACGGTACCTGTTCCTCGGGAGTGCACTTCTCTGTGATACGAGTAAAGAGTTTGGCTTTGTCGGCCCTAAGCGTCAACAAGCATCAGAGGAGGAAGCAAAAAGAAGATAGCAGCCTGTACTCTTTAGGTGCGCGTGATATTTCATCCAAGAGGTCGTTGACGTCGTCGACGGACATCTTGCCCTCCGTCACGGTAGACCGGGCCGCGACGACTTCATATAGGATATTTGGGAAGTTGCCCACCGACGCCTAGAGTATAGCGTAGTCCAGTTTAACTTCTTACTCGTGACAGAAGTAAGAAATCTAGTCAGAGGACCCACATTGTCTTTGGTTGGTTGCTTCCATTTGAGCAATCTCGTAGCATCACGGGAATGCCGATCAAGACCTAGGGCAGCAATGTACGCTTTGGCAATACCGGATTCCTTCAGGCCATAAGTTGCACGCTCGCGGTCTTTCTACATGACCAGATGCAGGTAAAGAGCAGAGAAAAACTTGGGCGACAATGACGGGAACGTACGTGAGGCAAAATTAGCCGCATGGCAGGGTACAGATCATTCCCGACATTTTCTCTCCAAATCTGGCAAACGTTCACGCATGTCAGAGCCTGAGAGGAGCTGAAGAGAGGGGGGTACCCATACGTTAAACCAGTGATCCAGTCTGTCCTTTCTTGTCGCGGGTTTGGAGTCTCTGAGGACTTCAAACATGCCAACTACGCGACTGAAAGGTGGACTCGGCTTGAGGTTACCGATCCCAGGAGGTCGTTCAAGAGCGACATAAGGCTCAGATGTCGTTGGCCTATGAGCCGAATCGCCATAACCGCCTCGGTGGTGTG